ACGAAAGAGATTGTTACCTTATGTTCCTGAGTCCGACGGTGCTTGATCAGATCGCCTGTAAAATGTGTGTGGCAGGTGTTACACCACCGCTGCTGACTCTCCCTGCAAGGAAAAGGGGGGATCCCTGTAAAAACGCTCTTCCTTCCCCTATTGCTGGTAGAGCAAACCCATGTCCTGCTAGGTCTTTGATTGAAATCGTGCTCTCTAGAGCCATGCTCCACTCAATAAGGCACAGGATTTCTTGGCTTCCTGTTCAGAAAAAGAAAGGCTCCCAGCAAGCAATGGGGCAGGAACAGGAAGCTTGGGTGGTGCTAGGCCTAGCTAAGCCTCAGAGCTGACCGGTTCAGGCCTTTTCCCCAGGCGAGACACGTTTAAGTGTCTGTGAAAGTGTGTTTCTCCAAGGCAGAACTCCCAGAATGGAGAATTGTGGGATCGGTGGTCTGAAAAATCCCATACCTAGAAAACTGCTGTTCAAATCTGTTTCAAAGCCAGTCCAGCCTGGTGCTTGCTGGACACGTTAGATAGACTACAACTCCTATCCTACCCAGGCAGCATAGCCAAGAACAAGCCAAACAAACCTACAACAGCCCAATTTCCAGGCTGTAGAGGTTTGCCTCTGAGACGTACCCGTCTTTCTCAGCCAGCGGCCCCTGCTCCTTCACCACGGGGAGCAAAGAGACAAAGCAGAGGTTGCTCATGTGTTGGATGTCCCGGAGGCGCTGCTGGTGTTGAACGCCTGCCATGTGGTTCTGGAAATTCTGGAACCCAGGGAATTAAGAGAGAGAGAGAGAGAGAGAGAGAGAGAGAATCTCTCTTTAATCTGGCAAGCTTCTTCATTTCAGACATGGGGCTCCAACAGGAATACAGTACATTGTTGCCTCGCTTGACGACGTTAATCCGTTCCAGCGAAATCGCTGTAGAGCAAAATCATTGTCAAGCAAATGTAAAAAGCCAATTAGAATGCATTAGAAACCGGTTAATGCGTTCTAATGGGCGAAATACCTCATTGTAAAGCGAAGATCCTTTATAGGGCAGCCATTTTCTGCTCCCTGTAGAGCGAAGAATCCGTCCCTAACACAGCGGGGAGCCATTTTGAACAGTGGGCGGCCATTTTGGAAACCTGACGATCAGCTGTTTTGATAGTTGTAAAGGGAAAAATAGGTTCCCGAAGCAGGGAACTGATCATCGTAAAGCGGGTTTTTTTTGCTATATAAACATCATTTTGCGATTGCAAAAGCGATCGCAAAAACCTAATCGATAAGCAGATTTGTTGTGGAGCGGGGTAATCGTTAAGCGGGGAACAACTGTAATTACTTTGAGTGTCCTAAAGGTTCACCAAAGAGATGCTTACGGGCAGGGGTAGGAAACATACAGCCCAGAGCCAAATCCGCCTCTTCCATGGGTCAAATCTAACTCTCCCGGATTTCTCTGTTAGCCATGGCTATTCTCTATTGACACCATCTCTTGGTCTTTATGGGCACATTTATTTATTCTTTCATTTATTTAAAATATTTATATGCCTGACTTTTTTTTTTAAAGGATACAAGATAACTTAGAATATTAAAAGCTGAAACAGTAAATTATTACAATATTAAAAGAGAATTAAACACACATCATATTAAAAACTGGTAAATAAAAGCAGTATTTGAAAACAGCACATTTTACATGATTTCCCTTGCCTTATTCCCCCGAGAAGCAGGCTGCACCTCCTGCGTGTAAACTACGTGGTGGGAGTCTCTTGAATGGCACTCGGATACAGCCATGCCATGACTGCAGGCCACGGGAGTTAATTGGAGAAGCCCTTTTCCAAATAAAAATCCCCGCCTGTGGAAAGCTAGGGTGTCAAGGAGAAAGGGATGCAGCTATCAAAGCAGACAATCCTAACCTTGAAGCCTCGGTATTATTACCTCTTGATTGCAACAGTCACTCTTGCAGATATAACAGTAGAATTTCAGGGCAGACTCCGGGCTGGTCTCCGCAGCGCCCATTTCGGAGGTCCAGTGAGCCGGCTTCAGGGCCGTGGTGCTGATTGCTCGGCTCTCGCTGCTCTGCTGAATTGTTACTTTTAAGGAGCCCCCGGAATTGACCACCTGAGAAAAGGGGAGGAAGGTACTAGCCAAGATGTACTGCTGCAGACCAAGAGGATGGGAAAGGACACGACACACAAGGAGGGGCTCACTTCTCTGGGAGGCACAAGAGGTCAAAGGATTCGCTGAATTAACTGAGATGGGAATCCGGCTGATCCAGGAAGGAGTGGGCAGAAAAAAGAAAGGAGGGCTTCTCAACTGCCCATTCCTAGAGGGATCAAGGGGACGTGGTGCCGTTGCAGGTTAAACCGCAGAATCCTCTGTGCTGCAAGGTCAGAAGACCAGCTGTCCGAAGATCGAATCCCCACGACGGAGTGAGCTCCCGTCGCTTGTCCCAGCTCCTGCCAACCTAGCCATTTGAAAGCATGTTAAAATGCGAGTAGATAAATAGGGATCGCCACAGTGGGAAGGTCACGGCGTTCCTTGTCTAGTCACACTGGCCATGTGACCACGGAAACTGTCTAAGGACAAAACGCTGGCTCTATGGCTTGGAGACGGGGATGAGCACTGCGCCCTGGAGTCGGACGCGACTGGACTCAATGTCAAGGGAAACCTTTACCTTAGCAGGATCAACCGGGGGGGGGGGGAGACAGCCAAGCACCAGGAACTGATCAAGAGCAGCCCCAGTGGAACAGGAAGAAATGAGAGGAGATGCACACTTAGAAAAAAAAATACCCTTCTGAAGCAGAAAGCTCAACAGAGGCAATATGCAGTGAGCCACGGAAGGTCAGGTGTTATGACGACAAAATAGGGGTTTCTGGAGGGGAGGGAAGTGTTGTTATAGTCGCAACACTCTGTGCTTCTTCCATACTGCGCTCCCAGCACACATAGGGCTTTGCAACCAAGGAGCAGAAGGATATACTGTCTTTTCTTTTGAGGCAGGAAGCATGAAGAGGCTGTTTGCTCACCTCTGAAGTTTTCAACTCCTCCACAAAGTGCTTCTCATCGGAAGAATCTCCAGCCAGGGTCTTTTGCTCGTTGTCTCTCTCTACGAAAGAGAAGTGGGTTGGGATGGAGCATCTTGAGTTTGGATATATGTGTGTGTGTATGTACACACATACGTAGAGAGAAAGGAATCTCAGACTGAGCTCTTAGAAGCAGGGGATGGGGAGGTTGTGGCCAGGTGGCTTTCAATTATAAGCTAATATCACAACATGGAAGAGTTCCTTTTTTTTGTATGGCACTCCCAAAATTGTTTTGACTAGCAGGACCATTGGGGATGCTGTCTGGCGGATTCTCACCGCTGTCTAAAAAGTAACTTTTCCAACAAGTACCTTTAGTTGTTTGGGGCATATGCTCTCAGTGATGCTAAGGATTCAACCTGAGACCTTTCACGAGCAAAGCGTCGGGTGTCCTACCCTAGAGCCATGCATTTGTTCCTCTTCTCTTACCAGCAAAGTGCACGGATCTGCACAAGCCAGGAAACTGGAAAGCTCAATTTTTATTTAATGGGGCATAAGTATGAGTTTGCAGGCAGGCAGAAATCATTTGCCAAGTGAGAAAACAAGCTAGAGCATTTGAGTGATGCTTCACGAGGTCTCAGAAGTTAGAAGGAGGTCTGAGAAGACTCTCTTAATTCCCAGGGGATGTTGCAAACGAAAACAAGTCCCGTTGCATCGTCCGGTACATGAAAACATACTTGTGCATCATTTACGGAGGTTGCCAGTTTCCACTTGCAAAAGTATTTAAGGTTTTCTCTCGTGTCCTGTGTTGCTTTTACCTTCCAGGCGGGACTTCGCATCAGACTCCTCTGCTATTTCTTCAGGAATAGCCTCGTCAGCTTTGCTAGCAGGACCGGGATGAAGTGGGTGGGGGGAGAAAACGCAAGAGCATTTTGTAATAACAAGATGCACCAGGCCAAGAAAGTAAATCACAGT